CAAAATCGTAAAGACCAAAATCGTAACTGATCCTTTTTTCGAGTTATTGTTAAATTTGTAATTTTTATTTAATACCTACCTGACAAGAAATTGTAAATAAAAGTATTTCAATATAAAACAAAAATGTTACTCACATCTGCTTTTGTGGCTAATTTCATATAAACAATTAGACGTTTCACTACCGTTCGATTTATTATTGTGTAATCTTGTATTTATTGCATTGTGTATTCAAGGAATAAAGGAAGGTTCCCATTTCGGAGGCCAAAATCAACACAAACTTTGGCAATTTTTTGTGGGAAATAGTTATTACTAATTAATGTAGTTTTTTTTTAAAAAAAAGGTACATTCTTGAATTTTAAAAAAAAATATTTCATTTTCAAAAAATTTCAAAATGGCGACCAATATGGCGCACCTAGTAAACAATGTTTTTTAAATAGGGAAAACGGTGGGCATTTTACTTGCGCAATTTTGATTCTAAATCAAAAACTCATAGCGTTTTTTTAAAACACTGCGTTTTTTGCCTTATTTTTTCATGTTTAATCTCTTGTAAAAATCTTTATTGTTAACAATTTTATCATATTAAAGGTATAACCCGAGCAGAATTTAGTTACCTTTAATAGCTTCTTGACATTGGTGACCGCAATCGGAACCTCCACTTAAGTAAAAATTTCAAATTTAACAATAACTTGAAAAAAGTGTCAGCTACGATTTTGCTCTTTACGATTTTTTAAGCTTTAAATAAAGAGGAATGAAATGCCGCTATCCGATTTTGTCACCATTTTTGTAAAACCTAAATCTACTTGAAGCCAAGCATGCTGTAAGGAATTGTCAAATTATATTGATTCCGTGTGTATAAAAATTTTAATACACAGGGAAAAAAGTCTTACTCTGAACATAGTCTAATTTTTTATTTTGATTAGAAAGTAGCCGATAACTAATATTAATCACAAATAATGGCCTAAAAATAAGCCGTTGAGGTCTAAATGAAAAACGAGATATTAATATGAAAAATATTTAGTTCTATTAGATTCAAAACAAGCCTTTGTGGTCTTGGACTCAATACAAAATTTTATGTGCTAGAAATGAGACGTTAAAAGTCTTCAATCAAGCCCATGAGCTCTAGATACTATTGAGTTATAACTAGACGTACAACGAAAGTGCAACAGTGTAAAGTGTCACTGACGCCATTCCAAAAATGTGACGCTTGTGGCTACTTTCTATTTCGAAAGGCACCTTATTGTTAGCCCCTACAGTAGGCTTAAAGTAAGACTTATTCTATGAGCGAGTTAGAAACTATATCAGTCTAGTTTGTGTCTCATATTGAAACTAGCTTCTTTTCGGGTTTGAAACAAAACTTATTTTTTCCTGTGTACATTGCACTTTCTACAAAATTAATCCAAATGTTTTGTGCTGATTTTGAAACCAAATCATTTTGTAAAAATTCTCATGTTTTAATAGAATAAGCCCACCCGAAAACCGAGTCTGGAGAGACTTCCCTGTTGTGACCGTTCAATCGTTTAACTTTTTTTCTCCGTAATACACATCACACGTGCATAACTCAAGCACAAACGATGTATGGTAGGCAGCACATGTGATGTCTCAAAATTCTTTCCGTGTAGGTTTTCTCCGTCCATGTGCCTGATATATTCACACACTTAAATTTTTTGATACTTGTGATAACTGCTACTTCATTATCTTATTATTATGAAAATAAATTTTTATTTTTTATTTAAATGGCACGTGCGAAACAATTTGCATGGTTTATTTTAATTTTCATGTTTGTTTATTGGAGAAAATGAGTTAAGCTATCCATTGAGTTAGTTAAAAAAAAGAAAAAAATTCAATTAATACGGTGCATGGAGAAAAAATAAAATCAGTAATAACTTGCGACCCAAGTAGAAATTACCTGAGTGATTCCCGTAGTAGCATACAAGCAGTCAAAACTGTGAACCCCAGTTATGTGACTCCTTAAGACCCATGTTGCGTTAACTTGAATACTACTATTAGTGACACTCAAGTAGTTTCTACTTAACTCATAATTTATGAGTTTTATTTTTCTTTCCGTGCATATTGTAAAAAAATGTATCTTTTGAACGATACATTAAACTCTGACTATAAGCAAATCTATTATATTGAAAGTTATAGCTGAATAGCCAACAATTGCACAACAATTGACTATACCCAACGCATTTCTACATAGAAACATATAAAGAGTCCAAGTAAAATCATATACCGGCTCCTACTTGAAAATTTTCAGTAGAGTTTTTGGCTAAACTGATTTACCTTTACCACTCCTCACAGTGTGCCTTACTCCTTTTCCTTTGTATTATATATCGTTCCTCAAGAAATTTACAACACATGATCCACTGAGTAGAATTTTTAAATAAAAACAGTTTTTCTTTGCTTCTATTCATCGCAGTTTTTCCATTCTAGGGCAGAAATTATTGTATCTTAGTTACATTACATTATATAAAATAAAAACATTTTCCGGTAATTTATTTAACTCAAAATTATATATATCTGTCAACTAAGTTTTTTATGGAACTAGTTTTAAATGTAGTCCACGTATATTTGAATGATAGTTTAGATACTTCCCAGACCACTTTGGTTTCCTGAACTAATTAATCTCTAGTTCACAACGATTCGCAATAAGAATGACATTAAGAAAAAAAATTTAATATTCTGTTGACTCCTTTATAGTAAATTGCATTTTTTGATGATATTTTTTGTACTATTTAAGGAAAATACGGTGACAAAATCTAAATTTTTGAGAGCTTTTATATACATACGTTTTTAAGACAATCTTTTGCACTTTTGTAAAATCAAACCTATATGAAGAAATCCTATGAGTAGGTGCTATGAGCTAATAATAACCCTCGTGGAAAGCGAACTATGGGCAAAATATGGGAAAAGTTTTTTGCCAAGTTTAAAAACGATTTCGCTTATACTTTCAAGTATGGGTAAAATCAAGGAAGCCATTGCTTATGAGCATTCTCCATACATTAATATTGTTAAAGTAATATTCTTAAGAGTTATTGAAAACTCAACCTTATTAGTTTAGAAAGAAATAAACTCTATTGTAAAAGGAAGGAGCAATAAGAATGTATTTAAGGGAAAAAACCAATGTCTAGACCTAGACAGTGGTACAATTTTTATGACTCAAGTAAACCAAGTGATGTTCACTCAGATCTGTCATAGGCAAAGGGCTTCATGGTAGTCAGTTGGTTTTAGCCACTCGTTCGAGATTGTCAGAGTGCTGCTAATGTTCTTTCGGTTCAATTACAAGAAACTTTTATACTTTTAATATAAAATACTGCTTTTCATTTAATCATAACCCTCAACAAATATCAACGCAATACATTGGTCAAATATGGTTATTCTGTAGACCAGAATAAAATTATCTTTTCCCTGCATTTTTTAAACTCTATAAATCGGGTCTAGTGTTAAAAGAGTTATAATTCTTTGTATCGTGCCTCAAATTAAAGAAAGTTACAACAATGTGGTACTTTTATTTGATCTAACAGAAATCAATAATATTCAAGTTTGTCAGCGATTTAAAATTATTATTGATTATTACTGGACAACAAACAGCATTGGCCACATATCCTTGCTGCATCTAGGAGTAGTATAGTGATACAGAAACTGAAAATCCGTTTAGGTTAAAAACATTCGGAGATTGGAGAAAAGATTTTGATAAATTTGTTGACACCGAGAAAAACAAGAAATACAGTATAAATTGATACAGTACAATTCTCCTCCATTGTAAGAAAGTGACGAGACTAATGTATAAGAAAAATGCATCATTCCCGATTTGCACGTAATGCAAGGCTTTGTCAAATACTTATTTTGGGAAGGATTGCTCCTAAAAGAAAAAGCGTGTATATGGTTTAAAAAATTAAATATTATTGCCAAATATTACTATGGCGAATGTTTTGAAGGTAATGCGTGTTAAAAATTAGTTAGGAGGATAGACTTTTTGAAATTTATAAAATGGTTGTTTGTTTTTTTAATCTTTCCTTACATAGGTGTCTTGAAAGCTATGAACAAAGTTGTTAACTGCTGCTTCATATAAGGAAAGGTTAATGGTCCAATAGAAGTTTATTAGAAACAGTTGGAAGAGGGAATAAGCAGTATTGAAAATATTTTAATAATTTTGAATATTAACGTTCTCATTAGGTATGTAGAAGAACTTACTAGTTCTGATAATGAACTAGGATTCTGGTCAGAGCAATCCAGAAAATCGATCCATCAACAGTTTTCAGGCACTTATAGAAACAATATATAATTAATTTGATTGAAGAGGAATTTTATTCTGAGAGACTCCTCAAAGCAGTAGTCAAATTTCCTTCTCTTAATATATAACTAAGTGGCTTTAAGATAAAAAACACAACAATTTAAAAAATATGCAATAAAGATCAGCTTTCTCTCTTGAGTGACATGCAGAGTTACCTCATCAATAGAATGACCTAAACTCGAAAAGATTCTTTGCTTAAATTCGGCTAATTAATAAATTCTCAAAATTTTTATACTATGACAAAAAAATTAGCTCTTCCTTTTTTAAATCACTGCTTAGCATGTGACTTCCTTAGAGAGAATTTACGACATATCCTGGTACACTGTCCCAGGTTCGAGCCGCTAAAGTTTAAATATTTTCAGGAGTTGACGGACTATGTTGATCAGAAATTGTACTGGATTAAAATTTTATCATCGCAAAATTCTAATGATATAAAAAGATTTATTGACATGTTTACAAAAATACTGGATCTGCACACTGAAATATATTTACTACTGGAGCAGGGATTATGTTGCTAAAAACGAGTCTGCGACTTCAGGAAGTTTGTTTAATACAAAGCACTAAGAAGTTCAATTCATTGTTCATTATGTATTTTAGATTTTTTTTTTTCATTTTATAATTTGTAAACTAAAATTGATTGTAAGAATGTATTAATGTTTCGCACATTTTACTGAATGATTTGAAAATTTTATTAAGAGTTTCTTACCATCAGATGAAGTGTTATTGCCTTCGACAACGTCAAGATAGTGAACTTTGCAGAGTAGCCGTGCATCAAGAAGAGCGAATTGCTCACCAGTAGATAATTGGCGTGAGCAGGCATCACATGCAAAGCAAGCCAAATGGTAAACCCTTTCTCTAGCTCTCCTCACCCAATCGCCCGCACCTACGCTTCTACCGCACTTTGCGCATTTTGCTCCAAAAGTTCTGCAAATATATTAAAAATATCTTCTGTTAAATTCCAACGTTCCACATTTTCGAAACATAGATACTTATGTAAGTGAGAACCTGATTTATTCATTCATTTTTATATTTTTTCTTTATTAGTATACTAAATCTAACAGCTCGCAGACTGGATATAAATAAAAAATCAATTACGGGTTAAGGAGAAAAAAATACTGAAAACCCTAAAGACACATTTTTTGGGTATTTACCCCCATTTTTTAAGTTTTCAAATTTTTTTTAATCTTGCGTATATGGGTCTTCATTCATACTAATCGCCATTTAATATAATTTGCATGTTTTTGATATGTCATTTCACATAATTTTTATATTTTGAAATAACTTTTAATATAATTTTTATTTTCTCGAATAATCATTTATTCTAATTTTTAATTAATCAAATTACCTTTTAACATAATTTTTATTTTGACGAATGACCATTGGTTAGAAGTTTTAAATGTTAGAATTTCAATTATCTAGATTTTTCGTCTAATCACATTTCCAATTAGTATAATTTTTATTGGTTCGAAATATTATTTTACATAAATTTCAATTTTCTAAACTTTATTTGTTATAATTGTTATTTTTCTAAAATCCACATAACCTAAAATTCACTGACACTATTTGCTATTTGATATAATTCACAAAACACTGAAAATTTAAATGTCCTAAATTTTGTTTTGCCGATATACAATTTTTCATAATCTCTATTTCTTTTAATGAAAACATGCAAATTATATTAAATGGCGATTAGTATGAATGAATTTCAGGTTATGTAATCATTCCGAGAATTAATAATTCGGACAAATAACTATTCGGAAGAATTAAGTTTATGATAAAGAAGTTTTCGGCAAAATAAATATTATGTCAATTGATAATTCTCCCAGTGGGCAAAAAACCATGTTCGTTTTAAGAACATTTTTAGAACGTTTCATGTCTGCCAAATAATGTTCTAGAACATTATTTGAACATCTATGTTCTTAAAATGTCTCAGAACATTATTTGGCAGACATGAAACGTTCTAAAAACGTTTTTAAAACGAGCATGGTTTTTTGCCACTGGGCTATTAATTAAAATTTAGAATAAATGATTCTTTGAAAAAATAAAAATTATGTTAAATGGTATTTTGCAATATAAAAATTGTGTGAAATGACATTTCGATAAGAAGAATTTCGATGTCTTGAAAATTATGAAATTGAATTTTAAGGAATAATCATGCGCCCCGGTCTTCCCCAGTATCTCTATTGTAACACTTTTCACTTGTTACTAATTATTGTAACGAAAAAACAAAAAATATAATAGGAATAAAATGATATGTATAATTATCATTTGATAGAAAAATTAGGCTATCGAGGAACAAAAACTTTAACAAAATTAAAAATTTTAAATAAAATCCAGATAACACAGGACAAAAAAATTGTTAAAAAATTTTTGCACCATTCGAAAGACTAGGGAAAAACCTTTCGAAAACATGTTGGTTACTTGATAAATATTTTCAACACGATTGTGCAATTTAGTGTCTCAAGTACACTAATGAATCCCTTTGTGCTCGTCGAAAAAATTGATAATCAATACAGTACGAGTAGCATGGAGAGTGTCCCTTTTTCAACTTAAATTGGGTAGTATGTCACATGTACATGTGGCGTAATCAAACTAGATTCCTGTAAGAGTAAACTAATATGTAATAAAGCAGATTTGCTGTAGATCAAAGTTATACTCAAAATTAAGTTACCTTCATTTGAAAATAGACTCTGAACTGATTTAAGCTGTGTGGGTTTAATCTGGAAATCTTGAATTCATGAGAGAACGCTTGCATTAGCATTTCTTCGAAAACAATAGGATTATCCTTTTCATCCGGAATTTATAATAAAATTTGAAATTTTTTTATTGTACTTTTCAAATATTTTGCATTCTATTCTAATGTCTAAAAAAATTTATTTCATAGAATTGATAAATTTATTTTATAGAATTGACTAATATATCAATTTTGATACTATATATTCAAAAGAAGAAAGAAGATTTGTATTTAGGTTAAAGTGAGACGAGGGTGACTAACGGACATTTTATTGTAAAACATGCAAGGTTCCGCTGTGGAATTTTTTAAAAAAATTGCTTGGATTTGCTTAAAAATCCGTACTCGGGGGATTTCGGGGTCGTCGATTACGAATCCGATGTTAGTTTTTCAAAATTCAAAATGGCGGATCCAATATGGCGCAAATTTTTTTAAAAATTGCTTGGATTTGCAGGTTTGCAGGAAAAAAACAACTGAAAATACCTGATAATAGGACAGAATAAGGAATTATGAAAGAAAAAGAAAAGCTCTGAAAAGAACTTCTGAATTTGTTTTGATTGTGAGAGAACTTACCCTAACCACGCCTGCACCACCTTGTGGACGAAAGTACAATTACAATGTAAAGCGCGCTAATACCTGGCGACTACACAGGTCAACAAAGCGCTAATCAAGTATCGAGGTAAAGCGTGCGCACGGAGGAATAGTAAGGAGACCGATCTTGCTGTAGTAGTGCTTCTGAAAATGTCAGAAAAACATGCACGATAAGTGCCAGTTTCACTGCATTCTACTCAACTACCAAAGTAGCTGAGCATGCGCATTAGCCATGTGCTCTCTCTTTCTCTCGCAAAAAGTGTGCGAGTGAGATCTGGCTGACGTATATTTCTCAAGTCTTCCATGCGTGTTGTGATGAAGGGGTTGTGTGTTATTATTGTTATTAATAAAATTTAAATAATAAGCAGCTGATTAATTTTTAGACATTAATATTTACGATCTCAAATAAAGTTTTGAATTTTTTTCACTATTTTGGAATAATCGATTTGAATTTTTAAAAACTGACATTAGTTTCATATTCAGTATATTTCAAAAAATCTTGAGTAGTGAATTTCTTCAACTTAAATAAATTTTTTGAGAAACACGTTCGTCACATTAGATCTGCCATTTTGAATTTTGAGAAACTAACATCATATTCGTAATCAGCGACCCAAAAAACCCCTATACTGTCACTTTCATCTGAAATAATAGAATTTTAAAAAAGTTGACAGCTGTTAACTGTCAAATTGACATCATATTCGTAATCAGCGACCTCGAAAACCCTTAAAAACATATGCCACTTATTGATAATTATTATTACTACTTGGGAAACGTAAGTTATTTTTTCTATGTTTAGGGCGCCATCTATGATGCGCCATTTTGAATTTTTCAAAATTGGTACCAGATTTGTATTCAATGGCTAACTGGTTTTTTTACGATTTTTGCGATTTGCATAAACTTACGGTTATTTATTTATGTTAAAAATTTTTTCATCCTTACTTGTATTTTTTTCTCGATCCTATGATCTCTACTGAAGAAAATGAGTGAAACCGCATTAAAAAATATTAATATTTAAAAAAGTTACAGGGTTTTTTGCAAGTGGGACATATACGTCACGCAGGCGTTAAAGGGTTAAGTTACAAATAATTAAATTTAAATGTTTAATATCCTAATATATCGGTATAAAGGTCTTGTAAAAATTACTTATCACAATATTTAATAAATATTGAGTTTTAAATTATTTACAAGGTATGCGCTACGCAAAACATAAGTATACTCTTTGTCTATTCTTAAAATTGGAATTGTTAAATTTGAAAATCCCTTGAGGGAAATTTTTTTTATTTATGTAGACTTTAAGAAATATAATCATTGATATAAAAACAATTTTGAAGTGGATTTCATTGTTAAAAGATATTTAAATTATCGTGTAACTTTGCAACGAAGACTGTAAGATCTACGACTATATATAAACGGTAGCCGTGTACTGGCAGTGGAGTACAAGACACACGCATGCTTCTTGAGATGAATGGTTTGCGGTTTTATGCAGTGAAAGCGTAGTATGAAACTAAGGATGGTGGAACGAGGAGACAGAAACTCTCAGTAATTAAACAGAGAACAGCGACCATTAGCCTATTATCATATTCATGAACATGGAAAGTGCATCCGATTCAGAATCTGGGGTCCAGCTTGAATCGTCTCGTTGGACCCAATGTCTCTCACTTCAGACCCCGTAGAATATATTACAACCACATAGACGTTGTTGGCCACGCGACTATCACGGTGGGCCCGAACAGTCCACCTATAAAAGCGTAATATCAATGCATACATTTTTTCTTTTTATTATATATTTTTTTATTGCACTTCTAGACTCACATGCGAAAAATAAGAAGAAAAAGAACCTTTAATTATCTTGGAAACCTTTAAAAAAAATTGAATTTTTTTATCTATAATGATATATTTAATGCAAGACTTAAAGAACATATAGAATGCGAGTAGTTTAATTTCAAAAGAAAGAAATTTAAGTAAATAATAAACCACGATTTCATGAAAATTAAAACTGAACTGTCATGTGTATATTGTTTGTAAGATAAAAAATGCATTTTATTTAATTTATAAACAGGGCAGAATCGCCTAGGTTGAGACTGAAAGATTATTTTGGTTTATCGCACTAGCGCTTTTTCTATCGGTTACAAAAACTTTTCACGTCACTTAAACTAATTTAAATACTTTTAACCTTCAAAAGGTATGTTCCTTATAGTTAATAATTGTGAAATTTTTATTGTTTTATAATAAATTTAATAACAACGGAAAAAATTAAAAATACATATTACAGACACGCGGAGTTTCCAAATATACCTACTAATTTATCACAAAACAGCAGTCAAGGATTGTATCCACATAATCCGGTTTCACAACCATATTTTATACATTCGCCAGGCCCGTACGCAAGGGAGGGATTTTGGGGGTTTAAATCTCCCCAGAAAGGTGTAAACTTATTCTAAAAAATTTCAGTCTTCTTGATTAAAAAATTATTTTTAATTAAAATCGAAGTTTTTATAAATTGTTAGATGATGTCTCCCATAAGATGAAATTTTCCGATTCTGTAACACTCTTTACGCGTTCATTTATTCAACAAAGTTCATCGAGATATTGAAGTTATATAATATTAACTCAATATTAGATGAATTTTTGAATGACTTTTTTTCTGTTTGAAGACGCATTAATTTATTAAAAAAATAAACTTAAAATATATGTGACAAAAAAACTTCGCAAAAGTTACACAGAAAATTAAAAGGCATTAAAATAAGCTGCAACGCTTCTTATTTTAATCCAATTTTGCTTATTTTAATCCATTTTGGTATTAAAATAAGCAAAATTGGATTAAAATAATAAGCGTTGCAGCTTATTTTAATACCTTTTAATTTTCTGTGTACTGAACATCAGTGAATTTTATCATTTATTATATGGAGCTCATTTTCAAACAGTAATCATAACTGATTCGGTGTAATTATGTAAAAAATAACAAGAAATAATGTCATTATGATATTCAGCGAAGAAGGTCATCATTTTTTCAATGTTAATATTTTTTATTGCGCGAAGAAACTTTGAGTATCACTTTTTGTTAAACTCATATGTATTTTTAGTAAATTGACTACTAAAGTGGGGAAAAAACGAGAAAAAGACGAAATTTCTTATTTAATAGAAGTCTCTTTAACAATATATGACCTCTTTTTTTCAATATTTAGTACTCAAGTTAAGAAAAATTCGACGTGGACAGTGTCTTAACTAAAAAGGGTTAGATGATAAGCCCCGATTTAATCGCAACAATTATTAATTAACTTTTAATTGCATCATAAATAATATTAATGTGGCTTTACTTTAGGTTATTTTTCTTTTTCTGTGTTTACCCTCACAACAAAAGGATATCCTCAGGATATCCTAAACTAATGTAGGATATCCTGAAAACGTCTATAGGATATCCTAAGATATCCTGAAAACGTCCATAGGATATCCTGAGGATATCCTCAGAACATCCAAACCGCCGTTACGTAGGATATTTTTGGGATATCCTGGGGATATACTGAAGATATTCTGGGATATCCTGGGGATATCCTGAGGATTTTCTAGAGACATCCTGAGGATATTCTAGGGATATCCTGAAGATATTCCAGGGATATCCTAGTGATATCGTGGGGGTATTCTTGGGATAAACTTGGTATATCGTTAAAATATTCTAGAAATATCGCTAAGATCTCCCTAGGATATCATTATGATTCAAATTTTGACTATTTGAGATAGCGATTTTTTGATACAAATAGATTTCTCGTGATTGTCAATCATCTTTCAAATCTGGGCCTTAAAGTTGATAAATATTAAAGCCAAAAATGCGATTTTCGACACATTAAATTCGTTTTTTATGGGACTGACCGAATGAAAATTTTTTTTTCTAACACACGCACCGAAAGTACACCATTTCTTACCTGTGTAGCGGGAGAAAAGTATGTCTTTTCCGACGAGCGGGAGGGAAAGTTACATTCCCTCCCGGTGACGTCACTGAGCGGAAGAGAAAGTTACTTTCCACACTACCGCGTTTGTACTTTCGGTATACGTGTGTTAGAAAAAATAGTATGTGCAACTCGGGAGGAAAATGATTTCCACTCGTGTTTTACAGTTCTCGTCTTCACTCGCAAACCTTCACCTGCGGCTCGTGTGCTCGCTACGCCTCGAACTGCAAACCATTTTCCTCCCTAGATGCACAATATACTATTCTGGCATGATCTTGTTCAGTGACTTTTTTGAACAGTAAATTAAAGATTCTGGCCACTGTGCAGCGAAGACTAGGGACAGGAGGAACAACTCGGCTGTTTGCCCACATGGAGCAGTGGGCTAGATTGTGCCTAATAACATAAAATATGTACAGTTGAGCAAGTGTTTCATAGTTAGCGCTTGAGTTGGTTTCAAGAGATTTTTTAAAGAAAAAGTAGAAAAAAGAATTCTTGTAGACAAGGTAAATCATTTTAGATATCTTGGAAATACATTATAAAAACATCCAAAAAATATGTTTTCCATTTTTATTTAATTAATTTGTATGTTAGGGTCGTTTTATGGATACCTTAGGGACATTTTTAGAACGACTCAAGGATATTCTAACCCATAAGATAATATAGACATACTGTGGATATCCTTAGGACGTCCTAAGGACATCCCTAATTATTCCAGGGATATCCTAATAATATCCGGGGAAATGATTAGGATATCCCTGGGCGTCCTAGGGACATCCTTAGATATCCCTAGGATACCCTAACCGTCGCTACTTTGGATATCTTTAAAGTATCCTGAGGATATCCAAGGGATGTTTTTGGAATATCCTAGGATATCTCGTGCTGTAAGGGTCTCCGTGTGTGAACGAAAAAACTATTCCCATATTGTCACTAGTCATTTACACGACAATTTTTTTATCGTTGATCATTTCATACTATTTTATACAGATTATAAGTTATTTATTTAATAATTTCTGTATATAGAAATTTTAGAATTTTAGAAATTGTAAACAATACTTACAAAGTGTAATCATGTCTACAATAAAGGCGCATGCCACGAAGGTAGCAGGAATGTTGGTCGTGTAAAGGTCTAGCACAGGCTGAGCATCTTAAGCACCTTGAGTGCCATGTTCGTCCGCCAACGCATAATACTGTTCGCTCTCGCACTCGTTCTCCACATCCACCACACTCCATTATTCCTGAAGAAATTTCTGTTCCAACTCCACTGACGGTTCTAGGCGATGGATTCTGTACAGCACTCTCGCACGAACCATCATGATTACTATCTTCAACCTCAGTCTAAAACAAAACGTATCTACTAAATATATATGTATATATATATGGGTTATTCTACAAACGAGGGAATTTTGACCAGTCAGGCTTACTTTGTATATTAATTTTGAAAAAAATAATTTTATTTTTAATGAAAATTGTAAATCTTAATGGTTTCTATTGTGGCACTAAAAAGAAGCCGATGAAAAAAAATATTTCTTGCAAAAAATACACATCAAAGTGCTAAATTCTCATTCTTCTGACATGTCCCATAGTGAAAATGACAGTTCATATTGTGAAAAAATATTATTTTTTAATTGTTTAGCGGAAAATTCATACTGCATTAGTAATGTTGAACAGTTGTAGATTATTAATGTGTAAATAATTATGACATTACTCTATACCTTATTTATAAAATATCTTCTCGAATTTTATCCCTGGATTTTGTTATCATTCATATGGCAGTTAAAAACATGTTAAAATTATTAAAAATCAACATTCTGATGAAGTTACAGTTAGATATTGTTGTTAATTAAACGGAATTAAACTCCCTGAGGGATGCTATAAAAGTTAATGCTTTACGATTTAATTTTATGCCTAGGGAGTTGGCTGTAAGGAGTTAATTTAATTATTAACTCCCTTTTTGAGTTGATTTTTAACTCGAAAATTTTAACTCCTAATTCCCAGTAACGTTAACTTCCTAATTTTTTTACAGTGTAGTGTCATTAACTTGAAGTTAACTACATGGAAAAATAGCATGTTTCATATTCATTGGAATATTTTAGAAATTTTCAACTTAAATGATGTGCACTGGTCGATCTCACTCACCCAGTGGGAAAAGCACGATTGGCTGAATATTGGTCCAATATTGGGAGCACTTTTGCTAATCTTGGTCCATTAACAATTATCAGGTTAATAAAAGAGATATTGTGAAGATTCTGTACATATCACGGATACTTATACCCTAACCGATTGATGTTGTTTATGAGAGAGAAAAACACTGCCATCTGTCGGATAGTTGGAAAATTAACGTAGCGTGAAATTTAAACTGCATGAAGGAAAAACTGTAAGTATAAACATTTTCTTGAAAATATATTTACTTAAGAATGCATACTATTGCATTAAACAAAACTTAATTAATGTTACAATGGTCACAAATAATTTTTTTAATTTTAATTCTTTATACTTACAGTTTTTCCTTCATGCAGTTTGAATTTCACGCTACGTTAATTTTCCAACTATCCGCCTGATGGCAGTGTTAATGCCCAGCAGGACGTTAGAAAATATTTTTTTCTTTTTCTCCGTTTATTGCGGATGATTTTATATATAACCCTTGATCCGAAGGGAAATAATAATGTTATTATATATAATAAATATTGGTTGAATATTGGGCCATTATTGAAATTCGAGCCTTAGCATTGGTCTCTACACTCCCAGACTTGGTCCAATATTGGTAAAAATAACTAGTACAATATTTAGCCAATATTCAGTCTTGTCAATTTCCCACTGGGTCAGTATCTATGGCATATATATAGCTGCGCAGTAGTTTTTATTTTTTTATAATCCTATGGACGTTGAACATATTAGAAAATACCGATTGATTTCAAAATTCAAAATTTTCTTTGAAATATTTTCTGAATATTGCAGAGGGGCGGTCCATAAATTACGTAATATATTTTGGGCAGGAAGGGTTTCGAGAAAATGTTTTTATTTGTCATACATGGGGAAAGAGTAGGGGGGGTCAATCATAGTTGTTAAGTATTATTTTAAATATTTTTAATCCACACTGTAAAAAGAAAGTAATAAAATATTACTGATTTCAGGTATCAAAATAGACCCAGCTAAAAATTCCTGTACAGGATCCTGACAGGATCTTGCGCAGGATATTGGAACAGGGATCCTACACAGGATCCTGTGCAGAAACATTACTTAAGGTTCCTCTGCAGGTCCCTTTGTCTGAAAGTTTAAAACAAATTTTAAAAATTTCCACTCCTACTATAGCAACAGTTACCATGGCAACCGTTTCCATAGCAATCGTTACCATGGTAGTAAACATTACCTTAGCAGACTACGAAACCCTGCAATATGTCCATAAATATATTTTATTTTAAATTTTATAAAATTATTATTTTTCATTAGAATTAAACGAACACGAAGCTTTTCATGATCGCAGATCGACATTGAATATTTTGTAAGGTATCATGAGTTTGCGAATATTGTTATTACCATAGGCACAAAAGTTGAGCAGTTATTTGTAAGAAACTATTCAAGAAAAAAGTATCAGTTTCAATGTGCAGACCTTTGGTGTTACACATCGAAAGAATCACGTCGTACATGTCAGTTCTCCCTGATATATAAACACCTAAGGCGTGGTTCCCAAGGACCCCCTGTTGTTAGCCTTTTTAATTCTAAAGCCATACAAGTCCTTTTCGGAAGGAGAGAAAAACAGTTGCCTACTGCTTTAGAAACTCCAATATAGGAAGCTAGTTTTCAATGAAAAAAAGCTTTATATTCTTTCAAACAATTAGCGACAGATCGAAGAATTTTTTGAAACTTTACATTTACTTATACATATGTGAGGGATTTCGTGTGAAGTCATCAAGATAAAAAGAAATTTTATCCAAATTTAACTAATTTGTAATCCTATGGGATGATAATTCATCACAAAAAAATCTATTTATGTTGACCAAAATTAACTAGGGGAAAAATATGAGGTAACGTTTTCGCTTTAATAGTTTTTTTTGTAAATATTGTGTTGTCGCCGTAAGAAACAACTAATAATATTATTTTTGTGAGTTGGTTACTCAACTGAGAACAAACTCTACTTTATTTATTTAACAAGCAAAGTACAAAAACTTGGAGATAATCAATCCTTCCAAAGCTTCACTGAGTCTTTTTGGAAGACAATTTACTAACCGGCGTGCTATCACTTTGAGTAGCGACTAATTAATCTGACCACACCTGCTTATGCATTAGTTTTAAAGGACTGTGCAATAGTCCCCACTCTTTACAATACACACTCATACTTCATACTGTTGACAATTGAAATAAAAAAAATTTATCCTTTTTAGGCCCATTTTTGGAGAAGTTTGATAAGGTTCTAAAATTTATTTGTTAGAATTTTCATTTACCAGAATATCAATATTTCGAATTCACTTTTAGCTTAATTGCTTTCTCATGGAGAAAGCATTGTAATACCGAAATTTTTCGAAGTCGATTTTTTGATGTATAGATATCTTTATGTTTTTCGACCTCAGGAACCCAAAAATCACATATTTAAAAAATGTCGTTCCGTGTGTGTGTGTATATACACTACATTTTCCTAAATATCTCAAATACTATAGCATTTTTTTTAATTGTAGGTCTCACTGGCGGACAAATAAAGACATTGCACTCTGTTATTCTATTCAAAATTATTGAATTTTTGAAAATTAGAAAAAAACGTTTTTGCTAATAACTTTAAAAAAGTGTATTGACAGCAATATATATTATCTCTAATTTTGTAGAGGTTTTCAAGACGCATCTTTTGACCTATTAGCGAATATCCTACTGTTATTTTGTCCAGAGTTATTAACATTTTGAAATTGAAAATTTTTGAAAAACCTGCCATTTTTGCATTGTTTATTAAAAAATACTTATATAACTTTAAAATTATTATGAACAACTTAAAGAATATTTAAAAACGAATCAATTGACCTATTATTGAACCTTTTATTATAAAATATTACGAAGTTATTATTGATATTGAAAACCTATATCTGCAAACCCTCCAAAAAATACAACTTATAACACCTTTTTAAAACTAAATAAGTTAATATAAATTGATCACAAAAAATTTCCATGAGAAAGCAAAGTGTTCATAAGATGAACACAAAAAGTTCATACTTTAACTTGGTAGCGATTTTTTTATTTGAAATTTAAATCTGACTTCAGATTCGTAATCATCAGTGACTCCAAATTATCCTAGATACTAAGTTTTACGTAGATCCATTAACGTTTAAAAAAAATTCGTACACCATCAAAAATTTGATATGCTTTTTGAAGTTAGGAAAAAATCCTGGGTTGTGTTATTAATCCCTTCGATGTGAGAAGTAAATTCTTAAAAGTGGGTCCAAAATGTTAAAATGTTGAAACTTATTGCTTGGTGGTTTTCGGAATCGTTTATTATAAATCTATTCCCAGTGGGAAAAGCACGATAGGCTGAATATTGGTACAATATTGGGAGCACTTTTGCCAATCTTGGTCCATTATTTTAGCCAATATTGGTCCAAGTCAGGGAGTATAGAGACCAATGCCAAGGTTCGAATTTCAATATTGGCCCAATATTGAAATTCGAGCCTTAGCATTGGTCTCTACACTCACAGACTTGGTCCAATATTGGTAAAAATAACTGGTCCAATATTTAGCCAATATTCAGTCTTGGCAATTTCCCACTGGGTTGTTAGTGTTAAAAAATCCAAAATAGCGGATCCAATATGGCGTTTCAAATTTTAAAAGAATGGGTTAACTAATTGAGAGTCAAAAACACCTTTTAGTATATCTCATTTGCATAATATAAATGACGCTACAAACTTATATACATTGTGGGTGATGTTTATTTTATACAAATTTACAGTGTGCCTATAAAAGGAACTTTAATCGGATGCACGATTTCGTCGGACTATTAATTAGTCACGCCCCATTCACCTCTATTGTTCTAAGTTTTTCTACATTTTTTTAACCACTTCAGTGAAAGTGGCATGCATGCAAAAAAGGCGTTCCTATTATTTAATCCTTGATTATCAAAGTTTGTAAAGAGAGTTTGAATGTTGCTAATTTTCAATATCTTTCGCTTTTTACGAATGACGCGACGTTCCAGTAAAATCAGTTTGTATAAACAAATGTAAAACATCGAAAATTATTTTTTATACTTTAAAAATCAAAATTAAAAGAGGAAAATCTTTTTAAATTTCTGTCGCTTCTGAAAGTTTTATACACAACGAGCCAATTGGAATACCCTGCAACTGAATTGGTTAATTAGAAATAGA